CCACCACCGGATTGCGCCACCACCGCACCACGCTTGACAGGAGACGCCTATTAGCCACCTACTCGGGAGTTTTGCTGTTGGTCACAGGAGGAACCAAAGAGTCAAACTTGTCTGATTTTACAATCACAATCCAAATCTGCACAATAACAATACGAATGCAATAAAAAAGAAGTCAATTTTTTAAGAGATAGATGCTAAATAGGATAACTAGCCTTTGCTTTTTGAACCATCCTTCCTTTAGTCTCATGTTTCATTTCCACAATCTGAACAAAATGAATGCAGAGCTTGACCAGAGATGATTCTGCCGCACCTCCACCGTCGTTTTAGCGCCTCCTCTGCCTTTCTGAAGTAGATGGTTGGAGATGTGTCGTGTGATGTCTGTGTGAGATGAATGAGGGAGAGTAAGAAAGATAACGGTGTGTGAGAGATGATTAAGAAAAAGAGATTTGTGAAGAAAAAAGAGATGTCGTAGATGGAGAGAGAGGTTTGAGAAGATAAGAGAGAAAGAGAAAAAAGAAAAGGAAAAATAGAAAATAGAAAAAATCCCATCCATTTGATTTAGTTAGATCCTACGGCTTAAAAGGTTATCCGCGTGATGAGAGTTGATTGGTCTGTAACTTTCTTCTACTTTAAATAGTTATCCAATGGATTTTTTTTCCTTTTTTGCTTTTTTTTTTGTTTGATTTTTTTTCATCTTTTGTTAGTCTATTTTCAATATTCTGATGAATTTTGGTTTATAGTTTAAAAAATTGATGTTTGATATAAAATTATAATCAATAGTTTACAATTTAATTTTTAAAATGTTATTAATACTACTATTATTAGTTTATATAGTTATAGTTAAGTTTAAAGTATATGGTCTGAGGTTTGTGATTAAATATTTGAAAATAACATTAATTAAGTTATAGTTTATATAAAGAATAGGTTTTAGTTTAGTGATTATATTATTTGTAGAGATTAGATTTATGACTTTGTATGTAGGGTTTGAATTTGAGGTTTAGGGTATTATATTTAGGATGTACTTTTAAGATTTAGATTTTAAATTTGATGTAAGATTTTGAAAATAATTAAAATTTTAATTTAAGTTTGATATTGAAGTTATATTATGAAAAGATTGAAATTTAAAGCTTATGTTTAAGGTTTAAAAACAAGTTTAGGAGAATTTTGTTTGTTTTTCTTCTAAATTTATGTTTAAGGGTTAGGGTATGATATTAAAATTTATGTGTTTGGAAGTTATATATTAAGATTAAAGTTTAGGTTTAAGATTTGAAATTATAATACAAAATATTAGAGTTCAATCATATTTAGAGTTTAGAGTTTTTAAATGGTTTAGAGTTTAAAATCAAGTTTAGGGTTTAGAAGTTAAATTTCGTGGTTTAGGGTTTAGGTATTGTTTTGTTTTTTCGTAAATTAAAAAATACAAATAAACTTAAATATTTTATTATTTTAATCTCAAATCTTAAGTTTAAATTCAAATTTTAGTTTAAAAAATACTTTCAGAAATTAAATCTACACGTCAAACCATAATTGCTAATTTAATTTCTAACATAATTTGTTTATCATGTTTTTGCATAAATTATAAACTAAAAATTGATTTATTACTGATATATATATATATATANAATAAACTTAAATATTTTATTATTTTAATCTCAAATCTTAAGTTTAAATTCAAATTTTAGTTTAAAAAATACTTTCAGAAATTAAATCTACACGTCAAACCATAATTGCTAATTTAATTTCTAACATAATTTGTTTATCATGTTTTTGCATAAATTATAAACTAAAAATTGATTTATTACTGATATATATATATATATATATATATATATATATATATATATTACATTAAATTCATAAAACATACATTTTACACATAATTTCTGAGTCTTACACTAACATCAAACAAGTCTTATTACTAACAACATAAGTCTTAGCCAAGTCTTATACTAACTCTATTTCATGGATTACTCAAGTTAAACAAATCAATAATTACAAGTTAAAGTAACTTAATACTAGTAAAAGCTTCTCGCTCCTCGACTTCTCTCCATTTTCTGTCCCGGTTTGTGAATTTGTGGTCAAACGTTACAAACATCTGCAATACAAACACCTGCAATCACAGCAACATGTAACCATCATTTACCACTAAAGAATGCTAAATAGAGTTCAGTGACTAAATGCTTGATGTTTTGAAGGATACTGTAAAGTTGGTATTCTCTAGCAATGGAACAGAGTAAAGAAACAGTACTCCATTGTCTATGCATACCTAGTAACTCAAACCTACAAGTTAAACACAGGAACAAGCTTTATATAAAATAACTGTATAAAAGAGCTAAAGTTTAGAAATTTATACATTAAGTATAGTATAAGATGTGCAGAGTAGTACACATCAAGATATTTAAGTGTCTACTCTAAACTGATCCATGAATAGGCGACATGAGGTTTCAGGGTTTACCTTCTCTTCACACACCAAGTTCCTCAGCCTGGATACACATCAGGGAAGATTAACAAACCAGAGTAAGAAACAGTGGTTAAGTGTAAGCATCCACATGAAAACAATCACCATTTCCACTAACTAGAGAGCAGAGAGTAAATTGAAGAACTAACAAACCAGAGAAGACTCTGTCTTCAGGCTGAAACTTCCTTGACCTCTTTGCACTACAAAGTAGGTTCATATCAAATTCAATCAGTCACTTCACCAAATAAAAAAATGCTAGAAACTCAAACATTATCAAAGCTATAGCAATTAATTTCAATAAACGATGCAAGTAGAATCATAATTTGAAGTTTTGTGTGCAAATCACAACCTGGCAGTGTTTTTGGAGGAAGAAAGGAAGCCTTCGAAACCCTTCAAGGCATTTCCTATATGGCTCGATTCCTGAAGATAGCTTGTCTCCAATTCATAATCCTCACCCACAAAAACAACCCTTAAGTCTTTTAACCATCGATTCGGTACCCAATGGAATCAGTAACTGACCTGCTTCTCGATGCAACGAAAGTCTTGTCGAAGCTTCTCTCGCTTGTTCAAAAGAGAAGACCTTGGGTTACTTAATAAAAGCTTTCCCAGTCTGCAAAAGAGAGAGACGAGGATGTTCAGCCATGGCTACTGATTGTCTCTGCTGCATCCGTCTCTCCTTTATCAAATTAGGGGAGTTGGGATCTGAGGAGACGCATGAAAGAGTGAAATTGAGGGGGTTTGCGAGGTCTTGCAGAGATGATTAGGAGACATAATCGTTGTCCAAGGAGAGATCAAGGTTTAGGGCTTGGTGGAGACGATGATGATTGAGTTACAGAGTGCAAAATGGAAGAGATNAAAAAAAATATTTTTATCATAACGAAATATGATTTGCTTCTTCTTCATTTCTTCTCTTTCCGTAATGAAAATAAAATATGAATAATGCAAGCACACAATTGTTACATTTGGAGGCAAATAAAATAGAGTGAGAGGGAAAGTGAAACATGGATGAGTGGGAAAATCAATTATTTTTCCGCTTTAATTATACATAGCGTTTTCGTTTTCGCAAACGCTATATAAAAGTAAGAGGTATGTCAACCATAGCATAATTGAAAAAAACGCAATCATATTATGCTATTAATACTCACATTTCCTGTAGTGTTTATCTCCGTCTTTAGAAGTCCTCTTTATACACTTCAAAGACCCTAGTAGTCTGTGATTTGAACAAAATCATTCTCTTGTCAAAGACTAAATAACCATTTGTTTTTATTTTTTTTACAAAATATCCATTGACCACAAACGATTTTATGGGCACCATGAGTGAAAATGGAAGGAAATAAATATCAATCTGAAAACGTCATTAACCTTGTTGTTATGGAAAACGTAAATGCGTGTTTTATCATTTCCCAAATTTAGTATTTTAGCTATATTTTATGTGTTGGTATTTAAATATAAACTTTATTGATTAAATATGTAATCTCTTTTCCCTAAAAAAAATAGAAGTTTTGCCATCAAAGACCAACACAAAATTTGCTTCTAACAGTGTTTAGTTTTAGTAAAAACAGAACATAATGAATTTGATAAAAGAATAATTTAAAAAATGCAAGCAAAAACTAGCTCGTGTTGCAACAGGCGACGATAATACTAGTACAATAATAAAGCAATCAAATTAAAATTAATTAATGGTTAAAGAAAAAGAAAAAAAACAAAAGTACCAAATCATAATATAGTATTTCTGTTTACCAAAACCCCATTAAGCACATAATCTAGTTATGCTATCTTGTCTGATCATATCAAGACAATTAACACAACACATAAGCCACCAAAATGTGACAAATCAAATGAGAAAATTCTGGTTTTTCTGTAAAGACAATCATGAGATTAGAAACTTAGTTAAAAGAGCAGTAAGAATCAATAATCCTCAGAGCATTGAATGACCAATAAGAAAAAGTCATCAACATGGGGGATCTGCATCATAACTAATAATGTTCTCTTCATTATAAAGAGTTCCAAATAATGATTATTGCTACACATTCAGCTTAAACGTTCAAGAAGAATCAAAACAACACAAGAGAATGGTCAAATCACATAATGATACAAGAGAATGGTCCAAATGGTACAAGAAGACCAAATGTGGCATAGCCAAAATGAAAAGGAAAGCTCTAATGGTGTTCAAGTTAGACTATGAAGTAAACTCTGTTTTCACTCGAGACAGCGATGACCCTAAGCTTCAGACCGTTCGGTTTACAAATATTCCCAAGCGGACCAACGCTGAACAGAATCTTCTTGCAAGAGCGAGCACTTGGTAGAGTCACGACCCACTGGCGAGACATTCTTGGTTAAGCAGTACAAGAAGACAGCCAAGAACGACGAGGAAGGTGTTGCCATAATGAAAACAATTTTTTTAATGGTGTTCAAGCTAGACGATGAAGGAAACGCGGTCTACACTCAAGACATGGGAGATCTGACCATGTTTCTCTCAATGTCTGAACCTTTCTGTGTCCCTTCTGCCTCCTTTCCTGGTTTGGCTCCTAACTACATTCGCATCTTCGATATTGATGAAATCAGATGTGTTAATGTAGCATCCCCTCCTAGCATCCCCTCCTCCATCGCTTGTATAAATGATTCATATTCTACGCCTTATTATTTTCCACCACAAGATTATTGACAACTAGCTTTGTAGTGTTCTCGGTAAGATTATTATGGTGTCTCTTTGGAGGAAATTTCTGCTCTACTTTCAGAGATAAATTATGTTTGGACTATATCCAATTGTGACCTGTATTTTTGAATTTAGATTTGATATTACTAATCTTGTGATAAACAGCTGCAGGAGATGAATCGTCTCTTAGTTTTTCATTTAATTCCCAAGTATAGCCTTAGTTATAAATAGGATATTGCATAAGTTCTTGACAATGTGCATTGCACGAAAAATTATGACTTATACTGATCCTACAAATACATGAATAATTTAAAAATTCATATTTGCTACCATGAGTAAAACAGTGACTATATATTAACTGGTCTTATATGCTTTCAGTACTCATCTCATTGTGTACAACATGTCAAATGTACAACAATGGTACGTACACAGTAAAGCGTCTAAATCCAAGAATAAAAATGAAACTGTTAAATATATTAAAAATAATTTAGCAAACACAGTTTCTTTTCTATGTCTTAACACATACCAATGAAGAGTAGAGTTGTTTGAAAGAACATACTTATATAAATATTATTAAGACAATAAAATAAAACCTATTTAAATGAATTTTTGAGTTCTTGGGTAAATTAATTTGTTCCAAATCATATTTAGGCAAATGGTTATCATGTCTCTGAAATTAGGTAAATGGTCATGCACTTCTGGAGTACAAACGTTTTAGTCCTTAAGTAATCGTTATATGCAGGCTACAAACTGATGATCTCATTTTGCAAAAACAATGATTGGAGCTTGTTGGAATAGCAATCACAATAGACAAATTCAATAATCAGCATGCAAGTCTCGAGAACTAGCATGATTGATCAATAAACAAACGAGAACAATAAGTTGAATAAGATTCTTAACAAGTCAAAAGAGTCAAAACACCAATGTTAAATAGTTTTATAGTGAAGGAACACATGCAGCATGAAATGTGGTAACAGAATACAATAAAATATTTTGAGGTAACAAAACATGATTACGGATCATGATTTTGAGGTGGAATATGGTAAGGGGCTATGTAAGACCAATTGCCACCAATGATGTTGGAACAGGGCACACTAATATAGACGTTCTCGTCAAAATCCAAGAAGGCCACGCGGTTAGAGGACATGCCGGGGAAGGAGCTAGCAGGAACACAGAAAGGTTCAGACTTTGAAAGGAAAATGCAGAGATCTCCATTCTCATTAGCGTAAACTGTGTTTCCTTCATCATCAATCTTGAACACCATCAAAGCTTTGGTTTGCATTTTCTCTGAACCGCTTGCCCTTGGCCTCCTGTACAACTTAACCAAGAAAGTTTCACCGGTGGTTCCTGACTCCACCAAGTGCTCGCTCGTGCAACACGAACTCAAAAATTTATTTACTGAAAATTAGAAATTTCATACATGTATTTTTATTAAAAATGGGTTTAAAGTATATATAATTAAAACTAATAAATATAATTTTATTAAAATAAGATAATTAATTTATATAACCCATCCTTATTAATTTTACTTATATTTTAAAACTGTAAATTATAGTACAAATTAATTTTTAATTTTTATATTGGTCAAAATTTATTTTATTATAATATAAGTTACCTATATTTCATTCAACCCGTATCATACTATATTAAATTATTTATAATATTCTAATTTAAATGTGTAATTATTTATCATTTTATATATCTTACTTGACTATTTTGTTTTAATACATTGAAGTATGTGGTAAAATTCATGAATGTATGTTATTCTTTAATTTTATGATTTATAAAATAGTTAATAAATGGCGAAGTTACTTTATATTTCTTTGTTGATGTATTAATTTAATTATGAATATAAATGTTTTAGGAATATTATTTCTTATTCTATAATGAAAAATGAATTAATAATCGTTAATAATTTTATTTAATATTAATTACGAATTTTATTATTTAAAAATAAATATTAAAGAAATTTATATTTACATCTTAAATAAAAATATATTATTAAAATGAAATCTTGGAAAATGAAACTTGTGAATATCTTTTAGATAGCTTATTTTAAAAATATTAAAATAATAGATTGGATATGGTATATATTTAATAATAATTAAGCTAGTTGTAAGAGAAAAAAATAGGAGGGTGAGTAAATGAAATAGTCCAACCTAGACTACTTGCAAGTAGATAAAAATTCTTCTATTTTAATAGTATTGATATATTTTTCTGAAATATATTTATATGGAAATTATTTAACATAATTTTCTTTAAAATATCCTTAATATCTTTATATATACTCTTTTGACTAGGAGTTTTGCCCGCTGCCCGCACTTGCGGGCATAATTCTCTTATTAATATTTATTAGTTGATGTTTTATTAATTTAAAAACCAACACAATAAGTTATATTTATGTTTTCAAAAAATAAAAATCAAACATCAAATAATTATCAATGACAAAACTCAAACATCAGAAATATTTAAAAGAATACATTTCTATAATGATTTTGCTTGATTTATATTCAATTATGATATTTATACAACTATTTTACTTACTTTATAATTATAATTTTTGATATCTTAATTTAAATTTTATAATAGAAAACATATTTTCAAGATAACAATATATTGTATAAGTGATTTATTTTCTAAAAATATAATATGTAAATATGTTTTAATTATATAATAATTATATAAGATTATAGAAATTATGACATATAATTAAAATTACCTAAAATCATGGAGAACTTAATGAATCAGAAAATTCACTTCTTAAATAAATTTTCTTGAGTGATGATTTATATTTAATTAATAACAGATAACTTTCGATTTTAATTTTAAATTATATAAAATAAAAATATATTTTCAAGATAACAACATAATACATAAGAAGTATCTTATTTTCTAAAAATCTAATATTATTAATATAAATTTGTTTTAAATATATAATAAATCATATATAAAATTATAGAAATTAGCATAAACTATCAAAATTAACTACAATTATGGAAAATATGACAAATCGGCAAACATTAAATTCACTTCTTAAATAATAGTATAGATTTTTTACAAGTTAATTTTAAAATTTATAATTGAAAAATATACTTTCAAGATAACATGATAATACATAAGAATCAACTTATTTTCTAATATATCATATTATTAGAGAAATTCTGATAAATGATCAAAATTACCTAGGATTATCGAGACAAATCAACAAATTCACTTTTCAAATAATTTGTTTGATGATTTATATTTAATTATCAATAATATAATTTTATATTTTAATTTTAAGTTTTTAATACAAAAATATATTTTCAACATAACAACATAATACATAAGAATTATCTTATTTTATAAAAATATAAAATTATTAATGTAAATTCGTTTTAGTTATATAATAAATAAAATAATTTTTATATCTTAGTTTAAAATTTAAATTTTACATATAAAATATATTTCAAGATAACAATAATTCACAAACATTATCTTATTTTCTAAAAATAGGATGTATTCATATAGATACGTTTTGTTTATAAATAAATTATATATAAATATTAAAAATATGATAAACAAACAAAATTACCTAAACTTATGGAGACATGACAACTAAGTAAATTTACTTCTTAAATAATAGTATAGATAGATATCCGAACTCGTCGCTCTAAACTTAGCTCCATTTAAAATCTGAAACCAAAACCATCCATGTTACTTGATTGTTACGATTTTCATTACTAACCACTCGATTGTTACAGCTTGATATTGTGCTCATAGAAAGAACAAAGTATGGTAATAGGAGCAAAGGGATGGCCGCAAACACTATTACTGATGCATACAGAAGCAAAAGCTTTACTATGGGCAATGCATGAAGTCTTAGCACATGGTTTTCATTCGGTACACTTGGAATCGGAATGCGCTCAGCTGGTTAAATCATTCATGAGGACTCCGAGTGGCCGTTGATGGAACTTGAACTAGATGCAGTCTGACATCTCAGAAATGAGTTTTCTGAGTTTAATATCTCTTATATATTGTTCTCGTACTATGAATGTTAAAGCTGATTCCCTCTCTAAAGGACAACGTGCTCGAACTGCAAGTTAGTACTTGTAAGCGAAGTTGAACCTGTTTGGATAGCTCATCTAGTTTAGCCAGCCTAGGGAAAACTGTTTGATTGATTATGGAATGAAATAGATGACATAAAATAATTAGACACAAAACGATAAGAATATACTTTTATAAAAATTTTGTTTTAAGTTTTAGTTATTTTCTATATTATTAGATCATAATATTTGCATCAGAAACTGTTGGCACGGCACTGATAGAATATGTGAAACTAAAACCGAGTTTTGTATATAACACATCACATGTTAAAATATGAATATATCTTCGGTGTGCTGGGAGGATTTGAGCGTTACACTTGGAATACTTGTTGCAACTTGGACTACATGGAGAAGGATGAGCGTTAAAGGGCTTTTGAAGAAAAATTGTTTTGTAGCAGTGGATAAACAGGTTTTGATTTTGAGCAACCTAATCATATCAGGGAATATAATTAATTATGATTTCGGTAGGCAGGTTCTTGCGACTCAAGGATTGTAAGAAAACAGAACAAAAACATAATCATCAACTTATGATTAATTTTGTCTTAAGATTAAAATTTCTCCAAAGAGAATACATTTAACATATCTCACAGATAACATAAACAAAAGACAGTTGCAAAACTAGTTGCGGATATCTTGTGGGGGAATATGATAAGGGGAATAAAGTGGACCTTCTGCACTAACGATGTCGAAAGGGGTGCGAGCCAGATCCACATATCCGTGTTCATCATAATCCAAGATGTAAACGTTGTTAGTATACATCCCAGGGAAGGAAGTAGAAGGGACACAGAAAGGTTCAGACATTGAGATGAACATGACGAGACCTCCCATGTCTTGTGTGCGAATTGCGTTTCCTTCATCGTCGAGTTTGTACACCATTAAAAATTCTGTTTTCATTATGGCAGCACCTTCCTCGTTCTCAGCTATCTTCTTGTACTGCTTAACCAAGAACGTCTCACCAGTGGGTCGTGACTCCACCAAGTGCTCGCTCTTGCTGCACGAATCTATAAGGTTCTGTTCATCGTTAGCCAGCTTGGGAATGTCTGTAAATCGCACGCACTGAAGCTTAGGGTCATCGCTGGGATTGCTGCATGGGTCCCATGACCCGATGAGGTGGCCTCCAGATCCGGGCATACGAAACATGTTATCTTTCTTGGAGAACATGACACGGGAGGAGTAGAAGCAAGGGTTTTTGATCTTGATGTTGGTCCACTCTGGTTTACTCTTCTTACCAGCTGGTTTGCAAAAGCTGAGCTGAGGTCCCAAGAACTTGACAGCCACGACACAGTCCTCATCATCCTCTGGAGAAGATGATGACATTGAAACATTGGTGATGATTTGGGTTTGGCAATGAGGTAGAGTCACGAGAGGAGGCAGAGGGATACGTTTAGGATCGGTATCAGATGCAACAGGGTTGAGATCATCTTGTAGACGCAGGATTCCATCTTCCTTCAGAGTAGCTACCCACCCATGAGATGCCCCGATCGTTTGCATTTTTCCATGATTAATACCGTTACACACCAACTCCAGACGTACAATCTTGTCCATTTCAGTCCAGACATGTTCATTTGCATAGGCAACTATGAGTCCTCCCTCATCTTCTCCACGAGGTCTAGCGCCGATGACGGAACAAGGAGGGGTTTGCCGCAACGAAGTTGAGAAGCCGTTAGAGATAACAAGAGAAACAGAGGAGGATCTTCTCACCAACGCAGGTTTCACAAGGCGCCTGAGAAAGAGAGCCATGAATGTTCTTTTAAAAACCCCCCGAGACAGCTCTTAGAGGTTCTTTAAAAAAAAAACCTAAAACCTTTCCATTAATACAGCGAATGAATGGCCTTGCCCACCACGGCAAGTTTTTGGACGGATATTTACTTTCTCCTGCATGATATTAATGAATCAATACAATTAAAAAAGTACGAGTTTTTTTTTACTTTTTCTTTTAGCATCTCCTTCATGATATTAATGATTCGTTATTTGGTTGGATTCGATCCGAAAATTCCGAATATCCGTAAACTTTTGAAATACAACAAATACTAAAAATCAATATCCGTTAAAATCAAAACAAATCTCAAATATTAAGATTTCTGGAACAAATATCCGTTCCGATCCGTTAATATATAAATACATGTATATCTTGATTATATTTAAAGTTTTAAATATATAAAATTATATGATTTGACAAATTTTATTCACATTATTACTTATATAAAAGTATTACATTAAAAAGAGAATACTTTGATCACAATTATAACTTTAATATTTATCATATTATTAATAGTTTATCATAGCATTTTCGAATACAATAATTTTCTATTTTTAATTTATTTGTTTTTGTTTCAAATTATTAGTGATATCTCTCTTATTAAAACATGAACATTAACTAAAATCTTACATTCTTTGATATTTACGATAAAATTCGTTCAATTTAATATTAATTTAGATACTATTTTCGTAAGAGTATAATTGTATCTTAGGTTTTGATCATACATATATATTAATTGAACTGTTTGTATGATTTAAATATTTGACTAAATAACATATATTAAGTGTAATTTTTGCTAATTATAAAAAAATATTCTAAAATCTATCGCACTTTCAAAATTTCACAAGATAAAAGATACAAAACAAAAAAAATAATGAATAATATATGAATATGGTCTATACTTTTCAAAACTTGATTATATTTTTGTAAACAAAGCAGTGATATTTTATATTATTAAAATATAAAACAAAACCATCCATTATATTTAATAACGGAAGCCGAATGCACTTTCAAAATAGTATTTTATGCTAATTTTTGTTTTTCTTGGTTCAAGAGATATATAAACCGTACCATTGGATCTTAAAATATTTGTGGTACAAATATTAACAAATCTTAATAGTTAGAGATAAATACTATTTTGAAAGTGCATTCGGTTTCCATTTTCAAACGAACCATTGGTACGGTTTAACAAATCTTCTAAGAACCATTTGAACGGTTTATATATCTCTTGAACCAAAAAACAAAATCATAATCGAACTGAAACCGAAATCCAAAAAAGAAAAATAACCTAAAACAAAAACCGAAGACCGGACATTATATTTAAGCATATTGGTGACCAGACGAGTTAATAAATTTGTCAACAAAATATCATGCACTTTGAAAGCGCGGATCAAACTATTGTCTTATATATTAAAACAGAAGTCCAAACCTTAATTCATGTGTGATTTTTTTTTAAAATAGTCATTCACTAGAAATCAGTTATCATTGATTATTAATAATATGCCTTAATAAGATATCACTTCTAATATAACTACAGTAAAACCTCTATAAATTAATAATGTTGGGACTTTGAAATTTTATTAATTTATCGAGATACTAATTTAGGAAAGTTTCCTTATTTAGATTTTTTTCCATTTTTATTTATAAATAAAAAAATAATTGATTTTAGCATATGTAAATTATTTAAATTTTTGAAATTTGACTTTTATATTGTTTTATCATCTTATTTGGTGTATATTTTTATGTTTCATAGAATTGTTACATGGTTTTGGATATAAATTAACTAAATATTATCAAAATATACTGAAATGTTTAAAAAATAAAAGTATTTTTATAGTAAATATAAAACCCTTAATTAAATATTATCAAAATATATTGAAATTTTTAAAAAAATAAAAGTCTTTTTATAGTAAATATAAAACCAACAATATAATATTAGATTGTACTTATATAAAATAATATATAACTAGATTATTAATTTATCATTTTAGTGGGACCATATATTTACATGGAATTTTTAAAATTATTATTATTTTATTATTTTATCGATTTGTGTCTTATTTTACACCGGCCCAAGTTGGGACCGTTGAAATTTATTAATTTATAGAGATTACTAAATTATCAGAGTATTAATTTATAGAGGTTCTACCGTATATAACCATCAACTCCTACAAAACCTGATTGATTAAAATAGAATTATTTGCTTTCTTCATAAATTATTAATAGATTTTCCTAGATTTTCTCTTAATTACATCTGAATAACATCTTTTCAAATCTTTTTTATTTACGATATAAATATATATTCATATTTATTTAAAATATAAATTTAAAATATAAATTTAAAATATAAATGTATATTTAGTTTTTCACTTAAACAAATCTTTTAATTATTTAATTAATTTTGTAATTAATAATAGAATAGATGTATATTTCATTTTTATTAAAATAAACCTTTTAAGTATCTAATTTATTTTGTAGTTATATTAAACTCATGTACATTTTTGTATTAAATTTGTGATATTAATTAATATAATATTTTGATTAAATCTTTGATCTCTAAAAATTAAGATTTGTTAATATTTGTACCACATGATTGAAAAATATGGCATCAATATGAACAATAGGTCTACAAATACGATTTTGAAAGTGCATTCAGTTTCTGTTATTAAATATAATGGATGGTTTTGTTTTATAGTTCAATAATAGAAGTATATGACTGTTTTGTTTACAAAAATATAATCAAGCTTTGAAAAGTATAGACCATATTTATATATTATTTATTAATGTTTTTGTTTTGTATTTTTTTATCTTGTGAAATTTTGAAAATGCTATAGATTTTAGAATAACTTTTGTCATTAGCATAATTTACTCTTAATGTAGGTTATTTAGTCAAATATTTAAATAATACAAACAGTTCAATTAATATATATGTATGATAAAAACCTAAAATACAATTATACTCTTACAAAAATTAGTATCTAAATTAATATTAAATTGAATGGATTTGACATGTTAGTTTTACCCTACTGATGCCCGCGTCGCGATAGTAATTCAACCTAGTACGAGAGGAACCGTTGATTCGCACAATTGGTCATCGCGCTTGGTTGAAATGCCAGTGGCGCAAAGCTACTGTGCGCTGGATCGTCGTAAATATCAAAGAATGTAAGATTTAGTTAATGTTCATGTTTTAATAAGAGCAATATCACTAATAATTTGAAACAAAAATAAATAAATTAAAAAATATAAAAATAATTGTATTCGAAAATGCTATAATAAACTATTAATAATATGATAAATATTAAAATTATATATCACTAATCATGTAAACCAAATAGTTATATGTATAAAAATTAAAATAATCACCCGCACGGTTGTGCGGGTCGAGGTCTAGTTTGAATTATAAGAATACATAAATATTAAATTTAAGAATGTTGAATGTAACTAATGAAATTTCTAGTATTATATTAACTAAAATATAAAGCTTAAGAAATTTATCAACTTGAATACTCCTATATTTTTAAGACTTTATTTGTTTTTTTGTAAGTGTTTTAAATGTTGAATTTATTTGGAATATAAAGAAATGAAGGGACATATAAAATTTTTAAAATAACATATTATATTGCTAATATATTGTTATTTGGATAAACTAATAAATGTACTAATATATAAAAATATAACTAGTGAATTAGATTTATAAAAAAATGCAATTGAAAAATGATCTACATAGTATAAATGATTAAATGATAAATATGTTATGTAATATTTCATTTTGTTTGGTTTCACATATAATCATAATATGAACAAAGTTACAGATAGTTGATCAATAATAAATATTATTCGTTAAAAATAAGAAAAAATCTGACATTTCTCAAAGATTAAAAAAGATTAGAAAATAAAATATAATAACAAAAGTATAATATTTTCTTTTAAAGAAAAAATACATTTTTGAAAATGGACATCTTGTACTAAAATGTATAGTTTTGAATTTGTTTTCCCACTATTAAAACATGTCGGATTTTTTTTTTGTGGGAAATGTTTGTCTACTGTGAAAATTAAAAATAAAAATAAAAATTAAGATTAACATCACTGACCCTAAGTTGAAGAATTCCCAGTTTTGAACTTAAAACATTAAGGGAAAATGTTTTCCAAAGGAAAAGAAAAACAAACATCTCGCTTTCCGCTAAGATCATCCAAAATGAATCACCAAATATTCAACAAGGGAAATTCATGAATGAGTAAAGTGTACAAATAAAAATAAAAGTAAATCGTAAATAACCGACCAAGTAAACTTGGTGGGCAGGGCAATACAAATAAATAGTAAACTAGATTTTGAACCCGCACATCCGTGCGGGTATTTTTTCATTTTATAAAAATATAACAAAACTTTTCAAATATATATGATTTATATTCTATTGTTATATATTGTATAATTGTATAATTTTAATTATTTTTATACAATATATTGTTGTAAGTTTAAAAAAAATATATATATTTATATAGAATTTATTATATAATTTATTTGTTGTGAGTTACAAAAATATATATGTTAACATTTTTTGTAAAAAAAATGTTATATGATTTAACAACTTTAATATGTTTTAAAAGGGAGTATATTTATTTATTTATTTGTATAAAAGAAAATTTTTAAAACAAAATATTTTCCTTTTACCAATTTAATATATTTTATTTTCATTTCATATAGCATTTTATTTTAATATAATATAGAATATAACTAAATTATAAAATATAACAATTTTTATTTTAATTAACAGTAATATAGATATTTATATATTAATCACGAAATTAAATAATGCATATTTTATAAAAATATTTAAACTTCTTAGTAAGATCTTGTTAGATATTTTCTCAACAAATTTATTACTAATATCTCATTAATTATTAAAATATTCCTTCAATTATATATATTTGATTGATTATTATAAATAATCAAATATATCATATTAATGAAATGGTCCAACATGACTTTTTTGTAGTAGATGTAAATGGTACTTCTCTTTTAATAGAAAAGATTAATCAATATATTTGTTTCCCGCCAAGAAGATCCAATAATAAGTTACCAAATATATTCAAATACAGTAATACGTTAATAACATGAAGCAAAGAGTACTAAACAATGTTCAAGAATTCTCTAGGCGTAACGCGTGCGCTCAAGCAGCGAATTGATTAATCGGCAATTATTTGCAGATTAATCGGCGAGGAGTTTAAAGGCTATATATTAGATATGTATATTGTAATTGTTAATGTGATGTAGTCTAGTGGTATTCAGCAACACTAAGTCTTTCCTCCTAGGCCCCTGGGTTCATTTTAAAATTATACAGTTTTTATGTTAAATGAGCGACGAAATGACATAAATATCCTTGTCTTCAACCTAGATCTGCGATTTCTTTCAAAGAGTTTCAGCCGTCATCCTTTTAAAAAAAAAAAGATTTCAGTGTTTTATCTTGTTTTTCTTTGATGTTTTAATCAAAATACAACCAATTCCATCATACTAATAAATAAATAGTAAATATCAAAGGAAAAAACTTGCCGTGGGGGGCAAGGCTATTTATTTCTCTGTATTAATGGAAAGATTTTAGGTGGAGAAGATTGAACATCATCAATTCAATCTCTCTCAGCTCTTTGCTTAAAGAATTCTCTCATGTCTCTCTTTTTCAGTCGGCTCTGCGTTGGGGTGAGAAGCTCCTCCTCTGTTTCTTTTCTTCTTCTCTCTAACGGCTTCTCAACTTCCTTGCGTCAAACCTCTCCTTGTCACGTCCTCGGCGCCAGACCTTGCCTCGAGTTTTCCGAACATAATCGCCTTGGAACACTCAGCATTGGCGATGTCAATCCAGAAAAACATTGCGTCACTCGTTTGGAAAAGAAGGTGTGTGTGGATTTGGTGCACAATGATCTTAGTGATAGTAGTGTGGTAACGATCGGGGCATCTCATGGGTGGGTAGCTAGTCTGAATAAGGACGATGGAATCCTGCGCCTCCATGACGATCTAAACCCGTATGCATTGTATAAAGATCCCATTTGCATCCCACTGCCTCCTCTTGTGACTCTTCCACATTGTCAAACCAAAATAATCACCAACGTGTCCATGTCATCACCTTCTCCGGAGGATGATGAGGACTGTGTGGTGGCTGTCAAGTTCTTGGGTCCTCAGCTCAGCTTCTGCAAACCAGCTGGTAAGAAGAGTAGTAAACCAGAGTGGACCAACGTCAAAATAGAATACCCCTGCTTCTACTCCTCCCGTGTCATGTTTTCCAAGTATTACAACATGTTTCTTATTTTTGGATCCGGAGGCCATCTCATCTGTGCATTTGATCCCACCAGCGATGACCTTGTGTATAAGAGCCTGCGATTTGAAAACCCTCCCAAGCTGCCCACTCACATCCGCGAGCTTATGAATTCGTGCTGCATGAGCCAACACTTGGTGGAGTCGTCAACATCCACCAACGGTGAGCTTTTCTTGGTTAAGCAGTACAGGAAGACAGCCGATATCGTGGAAGGTGTTGCGAAAATGAAGACAGAATATGTAATGGTGTACAAGATAGACGAACAAGGAAACGGGGTCTACACTCAAGACATGGGAGATCTGACCATGTTCCTCTCAAACTCTGAACCTTTCTGTATCCCTTCTACTTCCTTTCCTGGTTTTCGGCCTAACTGGGTTTACATCAAGGATTTCGACGAAACCACATTTGTCGATGTGGAGCTGGATGGTTGCCCCTTCTTTGGTTTGGTTAAAAAAAACCCCGCTCCTTACTATATTCCACCTCAAAATATAGTAGACGACTAGTCTGAATTCAAGTCACGGAAATTATCATCCTCCACGGTTTAAAAGCAGATCGATCGATTGCACTGGTGTAAAAGATTATTGTTGTTTTAAGTTTTGGAAGTCAAGAGAGAGAGTATTCCGTTTGAGATTGGTATTGCTGCATTTGTTCCATTATCTTTCTTTTAACGTACGTTATTAGACTATTTTGACTATGAATTTAATTAATATAACTATCATATTGATTAACCTGTTAATTATACCCACTGAAATTATCTCTGGTCATGAAATTTCTAGGCAAACAAGTCTTTGTTCAGATTATTGAATCATGGATTTTAAAAGTTTGAGTGGATTTGAAAAAATATTAGAGTTTGAAGAGATTTGGACTAAATCTCAATTATATGGATGGGATTAGAAAGAAAAAATAAGATTTGGGTGGGATTTTCTCTTAAAGTTTCAGAGTATACTCTAGACCATTTTGATATTTGTGTGGGATTTTCGTAAATAGATAATGGGAGCTAGATTTTCACGTATAAAATATTTCTTCCTAAATGCAAAGTAAGAATTTTGATGGTTCAGGGAAGACTACCATCCTTTACAAGCTAAAGCTCGGTGAAGTTGTCACAACAGTACCTACGATGATTGGTATGTTTTTATTGTTACTTTTGATCTTTCTCTGTTGATCACAGCTTATCTATAGTCCGTAGATAGTTAAAAAATTTAACCCTTGATTGTGTTTGCATCTGTGATGAAAAAAAATCTTGATAAAATTCTTAACCATATTCTTAGTTTTTTCTTTACTTTTTGAAATGTTTAATCTCTAAACAGTAGAACACAAAGGTATCAATTTCACTGTATGGGATATAGGAGGACAAGAGAAGCATATGCAATGGTGAGGTTCAATGGTGAATCCTTAGCCATTGTTTAATATTTTTGTTTTTTGTTTGAATAGTTAAGGATCCGAAGTAAAATTGTCTCTCCAATGGTGAGCCCGAAGATGGAGTCCTTAAAAAAAAAAAAAAATTTGGAAACTTAAATTTTATTAATTGCATTAACTAAAAAAGATACAAGGATTATAAATAAACATAAAAAAATACACTAATTAGTTTTCATCACTGAACTTGTTCCAAATATTTTCGATTAAATCATTCTTCAATTGTTGATGGATACGACTATCACGAAGATCATTCTGATTAGGAAACATATTATGCAGATTTGTAGGTCTCTCGGTCTCGACCTCTGAACTTCTGGTGACGTCTCCTTCTTCAAATTCTGAAATATCGTACTGCATGTAACCATCTCGTTCATTTTCAACTATCATATTGTGTAGTATGATACATGCTCTCATAATCTTCCCTATCTTTTCTTTGTTCAATATACGTACCGGGTTTCTGACAATTGCAAATCGGGCTTGCAATACTCCAAAAGCTCGCTCTACATCTTTTCGTGCTGCTTCTTGAACTTTAGCAAATAGCTCTTGTTTAGGACTCTGAGGGAGTGTGATAGATTGGATAAATGTTGACCATTTTGGATATATACCGTCTGTGAGGTAATATGCCAACTTATACATGTGTCCGTTGACCATGTACTTTACCCTAGGAGCTCGACCTTCTAAAATGTCATCAAACACAGGAGACCGATCGAGAATATTAATATCATTTAAGGTACCTGGAGGACTAAAAAATGCGTGCCATATCCAAAGATCGTGTGAAGCTACTGCCTCTAAGACAATTGTTGGTTTTCCTGATCCACGTGCGTACTGTCCTTTCCAAGCGGTCGGGCAATTTTTCCACTCCCAATGCATACAATCAATGCTCCCGACCATCCCAGGAAACCCTCGTTTCTCTCCAATATCGAGTAGTTGTTGGAGATCCTCCGGTGTGGGTCGTCTAAGATACTCATCTTCGAATAACTGTATTATTCCGTCCGTAAAATTATGTAAATACAAAAGTGCAGTGGACTCACCAAGTCGGAGATATTCGTCAACCGTATCAGCCGCAGAGCCATAAGCAAGCATACGAATTGCTGCCGTACATTTTTGTAGTGCTGACAGACCGAACCTCCCGGTTGCATGTCTTCTTTGTTGAAAGAATAGAATGTTCTCTGATAGCCCATGGACAATACGTAAGAATAAGTCCTTATTCATACGGAAACGACGCCTGAATAAATGTTCCGGGAATGTCGAATCTTCGCTGAAGTAATCTTTCCATAAGCGGTCGTGTCCTCCTTCAAGGTTTCGTTCAATATATGCACGGTTCCTTTGGTTACTACTTTGGCCCTCGACTATATTGGTGAATGTTTCTTCGAATATTTCTTCGAAAACTTCTTCAAATCTTTCTTCGAAAACCTCGTCGGACGAAGATGAAGACATTGTGAACGGATCCTGCGACAAAAAAAATATTATAAGTTTTTTAATTTATTATAATTTTTTTAATCTATAAAACCGTAAGCTTTATAAAAGGTTCTTTTTTTTTATGAATTCTGCTATTGATAATATAAATATGTAAGTTCAATTTGTATAAAAATGTATGTTCAAATTTATAATAACATTTTTCGATTTATTAGGTATATAGAAGTGATGAAATTAGGTAGATGAGTGATGAGATTAAATATAATTACAAGTTATGAGATTTAGGTTGAGATGAAAAGAAGCATATGATTGATTGTTTTGCATGAATATTCGTAAGTGAGTAACCATATTTAAGCAACAATGTGTAAATAGCATGGTTGTGAGATGAAGACTAAAAGTGATGAGAAAACTAGCAACAATATTTAAAACATGAGAAGAGTACAACATCCATGAACTTACCAAAGTTTTTGCAACAAGACAACAACTCCAAATTACAGCAACAAATATTACAACTTCAGAAGACTAGAGTTTTTAAGTTTGGTAGAGAGGAAACATAAAACGATTTCTAACATTCCGCAATAAACGGAAAACACGACTTTATTAGTTTATATGTTTGCTTAATCATATTCAAATGTCAAATGATTTGTCGTGGCTATATATATAAGTGTTTGTTTGATCGCGAATCCCATTATTATACTACAAAACTCTATCATAAACAACATTAGTTATTATAGTCTCGAGGAACTCACTTCATCCTCATAAAAGATACCTTATATCAATCACCCTACAAACTTCTCTCTCTATCACCATTCAATCTCTTCTTGCCGGAAAATAAAACAAAATGATCACAGGCAAAGATATGTACGACGTACTAGCGGCAATGGTGCCGCTATACGTAGCTATGATACTAGCCTACGGTTCGGTACGGTGGTGGGGAATATTCACACCGGACCAATGTTCTGGTATTAACCGGTTTGTTGCAGTTTTCGCGGTTCCTCTTCTCTCTTTCCATTTCATTTCCTCCAATGATCCTTATGCCATGGATTACCAATTCCTCGCCGCAGATTCTCTTCAGAAAGTCGTTATCCTCGCCGCACTTTCTCTTTGGCAGGCCCGTCTCTTATAGTGACCCTCCCATATATATTACTGATTATGTTCTTGTTTTTAGTCTATAATTCACCACCAGGATAGATAGTCATAGTATATACTATGAATGGTTAACTAATAAAACCTTCAATATCTATCCCTAGCATGAGGAAGAGTTCTCAACAAAACATGAAAATCAATCTTGAGATACCCATGCAATAAGTTTTCTAATGAGAATCTGTTGTATGTATATATATATATATATATATGTATGTATACACTATAATTTTTATTTATTGTTTTGTTAAAAACTCATCCCTCTTATTAAGGATGAGGGTGTTCTAACCTAAAAGACATGATGCTTGATAATATGGTTGTTATGTTTTTTTTTTGGTACCAATTTCCGGACTTGTATAAGAATATACGTTGATGTGTATTTTTGCCACTATGTTGATCTTGATGTGTATTATTCTCAGGCATTTAGTCGCAGAGGAAGTCTAGATTGGATGATAACGCTATTTTCGCTATCAACACTACCAAACACGTTGGTAGTGGGAATCCCATTGCTCAGAGCGATGTATGGAGACATTTCAGGCAACTTAATGGTGCAAATAGTTGTGTTTCAAAGTATCATATGGTATACATTAATTCTCTTCTTGTTCGAGTTTCGTGGCGCTAAGCTTCTTATCTCCGAGCAGTTCCCAGAAACCGCTGGTTCCATCACTTCTTTCCGAGTTGATTCTGATGTTATCTCTCTCAGTAGCCGTGAACCCCTCGAGGTATGGTTACTTATATGTTGGTTCAAGTTAACCGCCCGGCTAATTCAAGTAAAATACAAATGGAATAATTACAACTTGATAATAATATATACTACTTTTTTACAAAAAAATAAAAATAAAAATAATAATAATAATATATACTACTTAATGTATGTTGTTGTAAGGTTTCATTTTAGTTACCTATGTTAGATTATTAATTATAAAGTTTTGAATATAATAATTATCCATCACATATTTTTAGAGGATTTCGTTAAGCCCGTCATTTGGTTATGTCCGGTTTACTACTCAAAACATGTTTTTTAATCAGACCGATGCGGAGATAGGTGACGACGGAAAGCTCCACGTGGTGGTCAGGAGATCAAGCGCCACATCAATGATCTCATCCTTCAATAAGTCTCACGGCGGAGGATTTAGCTCGTCATCCATGATCACGCCGCGAGCCTCAAATCTCACTGACGTCGAGATTTACTCCGTTAGCTTTAACCAGACAGAGTTTTACGCTATGTTTAATGCAAGCAAAGCTCCGAGCCCACGTCACGGCTACAGCAAGAGTTACGGTGGCGTAGGATCAGGTCCCCGCGGAGATGTTTACTCGCTTCAGTCGTCTATAAGAGTGACACCTAGAGCTTCGAGCTTTAATGAGGAAGTTTTTAAGACGAAGAATGGAGGGAGAAGTAAGTGTGGTGAATTATGAATTAATTAATTAACTCTTCCAGACGGATATAAAAGTTGTGTAGAATCTAACAAATTATATAACAATAACAGTGGTATGTCTTTTTATTTTGTTTTTTGTTTTTATAAATATTTAGTATAAACTTAAATTTTTTTAATATTCAGTAGCAAATTTATAGAAAAGAAATAATTAAAAGTTTTCTGTGATAATCATGTCTTTTGTAAAAAAGGCTAATGTGTATTGTAATTTTTGAATATGTTTTTCTACATATCAGTTCCCTACCCACCACCGAACCCCATGTTTATCGGGTCAACGAGCGGAGCAAGTAGAGTCAAGAAAAAGGAAAGTGATGGTGGAGGAGGACAGAACAAGGAGACGAACATGTTTGTGTGGAGTTCGAGTGCTTCTTCGGTTTCGGAAGCCAACGCTATAACCAGAGGTGCCTCCACCGATTCATTCATTGACCTTAAAGCCTCTCTTCCACCTAATGACAACCTCGCTTCCAAAGGTTAATTAATCTTCCATGCAACCACTTATTATTAATTTATCATATTACTATTATTTTTTTTCTTTTATTACAAGTGCATGTAATCCGCTAATGAAATTATAGTCAATATACTAAAAACCTTCCAATAATGATCATAATCAAAGACTAAGAAATTTGATGATGACAGGCTTGACAGCGATGAAGAGTCTGATAGAGAACAAGACACACGGAAGAAAAGGGCATGTGGAGATGGACCAAGAGGTTAAGAAAGGCAGTGACGTAGAAGACGGTGGTCTCGGAGGTCCGACGAAACAGCAAATGCCGCCGGCGAGCGTAATGATGAGACTAATACTGATAATGGTTTGGAGAAAACTCATTCGAAATCCTAACACTTACTCTAGTCTCTTTGGCCTTGCTTGGTCCCTTGTCTCTTACAAGTAAGTATTTGACCATCTCGAACAATAGATATTGTTGTAAAATTCTAATCGATTTTTAATTGAAAATAATCAAATTAAAATTTTTAGATATTTATTTAGTTTTAACTCCTCCAATAATAGAACTAATTAATGGTTCTAAGTTTCAAAAGAAAGAGAAAGAAAAATTGGGTGTAAATATTTTTTTCTTTTAAAGATACTAACCAATTAGAAAGTAACATTATGAGATAGAACCTTCTTAGAATTGGTTCCAAAAGTTCTATTTTTAGAACCATATTTATCTATTTTCATCTTTTTGATAATTTTGAGTATATAATTAGATAGAACCATAAGATAGAACATTCTTAAATACTTCATTGGAGATGGCTTTATTAATTATTTTATTTTTATTTTTATTTTCTTACTAATTTAACTATACATACATCACGTGATTACATCTTTAGACATTTTGCGTGTATTTATATGATTTAGCTTGCTTCGTGTCGATTTATATAATATTATGATTTAATGGGACAGGTGGAATATAAAGATGCCAACAATAATGAGTGGATCGATTTCGATACTATCTGATGCAGGTCTTGGCATGGCTATGTTCAGTCTTGGTATTGTTCGTTAGTCTTCCTACGTTGCATGGCTTAACGCTACATAAATAAATAAACAATTCACATCTTATATATTAAAACAGAAGTTATGACATTGTTTCATGTGTGATTTTTTAAAAATGGACCATCACTAGAAACTTATACTATATGTATTTCATTAAGCTTAATAATATATAAAACCTTAAAATATTTTAATCAAAATATCTTTTGATATCTTTTCATTTTAAATATAAAGATATTTATTTAAATTCTAACAAATTTGTTTTAAAAAGATTTTTATAGGATCTTCATTTTTGATATTATCTTTAAATATTTGCATTAATTTTGAAATTAGTTTGAAATATTATTATATTCAGTTAAAGTATATAAAATAAAAAATGAAAAATTATATCATAATAGCTTTTTTCTAATCATAATTAATTTTATTAAAAGAAAATTATTATATTGAACTAAATGTAATAAAATTGTATTAAATTTATATCTTCTATTTTCCTATGTATAAAATGCTTATGTTCAAAAATAAAATATAATATGTTAGTAACACGGGTTAACATTAACAAACTATATAATACATGTATATAAATTAACATGTATTTCATTAAAGCTAAAAATCTAAAATCCTTATAACTACTTTAATCATGATATCTTTTCATTTTAAATATAAATATATATTTATATATTAAATTTTAAAAATATTTTACAATAAACTAATGTATTTTATCTTATCATTATAAAATGGGAAATTTAAATTATATCCTATTTGATTCACTTTATAATCATAATCATCATGTTAAAATAAATTTATTATACTAAACTAAATATGACAAAAGTATATTAATTTTATAAATTTAAATCATTTATTTTTAAAATATAATATGGTGACAGAACGGCTTGAAATTAGAAATATATATATATATATATATAAATTATCATATCTTAAAATTTTGTTTTAAAACAAATATTTATTTATATAAAAATGAAAAAATGCATCCGCGCGGTTGTGTGGGTCAAAATCTAGTAAATAATTACTTCTTGTGTTTTTGAGCTTTACTAATAACTATCGTGTTTATTGATGATTGTGGATAAATAGGTCTATTTATGGCATTGCAACCAAAAATAATTGCATGTGGAAAATCAGTAGCAGTCTTCGCGATGGCCGTGCGGTTCTTGTCCGGACCAGCCGTAATGGCAGCCACCTCGACTGCAATTGGTCTTCGAGGCAATCTCCTCCATATCGCCATCGTTCAGGTTTATTAATCTTGAATTTTATGTATAATTCAGTTTTAACTTACAATTGATGATTTAGTGATGTCGAACTTTTCTTAAATAATTCCATATATATACAATTATTGATAAGAAAATTATATTTCGTAGGCTGCTCTTCCTCAAGGAATCGTTCCTTTTGTTTTCGCCAAGGAATATAACGTCCATCCTGATATCCTAAGCACTGCGTAATTTTTTTACTTTATATATATCACATTTGATGATTATTATTTTTTTTTTTTTGAATTGAATGTTAAATTGAATTCAAAAAAGAAAAGCCTTGTTACATAAAGAGTTCTTTCTAAATTTGCTAAACATCATGCAAATAGACAAGTAGAAATAAAAACTTCCCACGACTGCCAACATCCAAAATTTTCCAAACCAACCACACTTCAAACTCCCCTCTCCCAATTGAGTCTAGCTCTCACTCCTACTAGACCCCCAACTCTCACTCCTACTGGTATCTCAATCCATCCAATGACTCACTCCACACCTAGCCCTCACTCCTACTAGACCCTAGCTCTCACTCCTACTAGGTCAACAAACAGTCACAAACCCATCCACGAAGAACCTGTCCATAAGGCACCTATCCACGAAGAACCTATCCACTCATGCTTGGACATCAAACAGTCATATATCCATCCACGAAGAACCCGTCCACGAAGACCCTATCCACGCAGCGGTTTTTTTAAAGCCTGGTGGAGAACCAATAGGCCATCCCTTCTCTATACTCTGTATCACCCCTTCTCTGAATAACAGTGAATTGATTTCTCATATTCTTCTCAATCCTCCTTGTCAAGACCTCCATGGGAGTCGCATTCTCTCCATGTCTTCTGCGATTTCTTTCCCTCCAGAGTGTATGGACTGTGGATTGGAGGATGTACTGCATTGTGAACTTCTTAATCCTACTCCAACCCACATCACCTGCAAGCAACCTGATAATACTCTCCCAGTCCTCAGTGTACTGGTCATCAAGAATGCCCTTTGTGAGGGATCCCCAAACCTGCGCAGAATATGTACACTTAAAAAACAGGTGGCTAGTAGTCTCTATCGGCTCTTGACACAACATACAAGAACTGTCCACAGTACCATTCCACTGCAACATGCGATCTCCAGTCGCTAATCTCCCTCTTGTAGCAATCCATGTCACAATAGCATATTTAGGCGTAGCATGTTTGAACCAAATTATGCGATGCCAGTAGTAAGTTTGGTGTCTTTCTCTAATGTTAAGCCAAGTAGCTTTTGTAGAGAACTCCTTCTTATAGCTTCCCTTATCATTCATCCATAGTGAAATATCATCAACATCACTTCTCCAACCTACTCTGAAGTTCTCAATCTCCATTTCAATCCTATTTAGTAAACTAACACGGTGATTCCTTCTTCTATGTCTCAGACTATCCTCCACACTCGCATTTCTCAGGATTCCCAAATCAATATGACCTCCCTCACCCGCAACATCCATTAAGCGACCTAAAGGGCACCAACGATCATACCAAAAGGAGGCTTTCCTGCCATTCCCCACCTCAACTCTATAAAAGTTCTTAGCCACTTCTCTGCACTTTAGAATTTTTTTCCACATCCAAGATCCACTCTGAGCATTTTCTTTAATCATCCAAATCGAGCTTTTTCTGATGAGATAAACTTTTATCCAACTGACCCAAAGCGAATGAGCAGAAAGAATTCTCCATAAAAGTTTAAGACAACAAACATGATTCACTTCTTTCAACGGTCTTAACCCCAACCCTCCTTCTTGCTTCATTTTACATACTTCAGCCCAAGATATTTTCGCTTTTCTTCCATTTAGAGCAGGACCCGACCATAAGAACGCAGAGCAGATTCTCTCAATCTCTTTAATGCACCCACTAGGGAGCCTAAATGCAGCCATCCAGAAATTCGTGAGACTTCTAATAACAGAGTTAATAAGTTGTAATCTACCCGCGAAGGAGAGAAACCTTCCCGTCCAAGAACTGATCCGCTTCCTTATCTTCTCCACCAGTGGAATGAAGTCAGTGACAGTCATGGTCTTTGTTAGGAGGGGCAATCCAAGATAGCGAACTGGTAGCTTACCCGTAGCAAACTGGAACTCACGAAGAATCTCATCTCCTCTCTGATTAACACCAGCCATAAACATAACAGATTTCTCTCTACTAATCTTCAACCCACTCAACTTATCAAAGACCTCAAAAACATTAAGAATACCCTCAATAGAGCTTCTAGTACCATCCGCAAACACCATGAGATCGTCAGCAAAGCAGAGGTGGGTTAGTTCAATGTTTTGACATCGAGGGTGGTACCCAATCCTTCCCTTCCTGGCCGCCTCATCCAGTAGCTTAGATAAGACATTCATGCATATCACAAAGAGGTAGGGAGAAAGCGCACAACCTTGTCTGAGTCCCCGTTTGCTCTGAAAGTAACCAGCAAGATCACCATTTACTTGCACCGAGAATGAAGCAGCAGTTATACACAGAGAAATCCAGTGAACAAATTTACTAGGAAGACCCAATGCTTCCAAAGTATTCAACAAGAATGGCCATTGGACAGAATCGAAAGCTTTGGAGATGTCAATCTGCATAGCACACCGCGGAGAGATGTCCCCCTTATGGTAGTCTTTTACCAATTCCATCGCAAGCAACACATTCTCCATAAGCAGCCGCTCTTTGATAAAAGCAGATTGGTTCAAAGTAATACATTTAGGCAACACCTTCTTCAACCTATTCGCAATTATCTTTGAAATGACCTTGTAGAGGACGTTGCAACACGATATGGGCCGATAATCCTTCATTAATCTCACCTCCTCTTTCTTCGGAACAAGAGTTAAAATCGTATAATTCAAACCTTTCGGTAGAAAACCTTTAAGGAAGAAGGATTGAATCGCCATGGTAACATCATCTCCTATTATTTGCCAAGCTCCTTTGTAGAATTCTGTTGTAAACCCATCTGGACCTGGAGATTTATCATTTGGCATATGGAAAAGAACCTCTTTTATCTCATCCTTGGAAACTTCTCTCTCCAGCATCATACAATCAACTCCACTACACTGAAACCCAAGCAGATCCTTCAAGCTATCAACAGAAGCACCCTCAAAATCAGTCGGTTGTGAAGTCATAAAATCAGAGAAGAACGACTCAGCCTCCACTTTTATTTCCTCCTCTGTTTTTGCTATAGAACCATCACTCCTTACTACTTCATGAATAGTATTCCTGATCTCTCTAATTTTTGCTGAGTTATGGAACACTCTATTGTTACCATCACCTACATCAAGCCAATGCAGTTTAGACCTCTGCTTCAAAAAATCCTCTTCTAATTCAGCCAGCCTTTGCCATTTGGACATCGCTTCACTCTCCGTGTGAACTCTCTCCTCAGTAGGATCCTCCATCGTTTCCCTCTGCTTATTACAAAGATCCAAGTATGCTTCCCTAGTACGACGAGAAAGGTCCCCTAGTTTTTTCTTACTAAGCTCCCTTAATGGCTGTTTTAGAGCTTTCAGGCGCTTAGTAAGTCTAAACATGGCAGACGTCGAGTGATAGAGAGCTTCATAGTCTTGCCACTTCTCCTCCATGAGTGAACCAAACTCTGGCATCTTTGCAATAGCGTTGGTAAATTTAAAGGATCTACGCTTCTTCCTGACCTCTTGTTTCAAGTGAATACGACACCTCAAATGATCCGAACAACCCCCAATCTCAAACACACAATAAGCACCTGATCTGTTTATCCATTCTTCATTGACTAAGACTCTGTCTAACTTCTTACATATCATTCCTTCCTCCCTCTTATTGCACCAGGTGAACCTTGGTCCATGGAACCCCAAATCAATCAACTTACAGTGACTCGCAATGCTTTGAAAGTCCCTCATCCCCAACCGAATGCGCGGAGAGTCTTCAAAGCTTGAGTGCTCATCACCATCCAGAATCTCATTGTAATCCCCCATCAACATCCATTTCTTATTTTTAAACATCGGAGCTTCGTAGTGACTCCTCATGTCTTCCCATAACTCTTTTCTCTCTTCTCCCGTATTATACGCATATATGAAAGAACAAAAGAACTCCTCTTCCTCTGGTAATAAGATCGAACAAGTGATAATTTGTGCACTCTTATATACCGGAGTCATCCTCACTTCTGGTCTCCATACAACCCAAAACCTACCCAGCCTATTATGCTCATAGTTAGCCATAAAATTCCAATCTTTAAACACCTCATCCACAATCTTAACAGACTTCCATTCCTTCACCCTAGTTTCTATCAAACATCCAAATAAAAAGTTGTTATCTCGTAACCAGCTCCTAACAACACCATGCTTAGTAGTTTTGTTGAAGCCCCTCACATTCCAAAAGAAACCTACCATTAATGGTTTTTCCTTAAACCCCGTTTCATATCTTTAATATGATCTGAAGTTGCAGGATTGACCATTTTGTGATTAGTCTTGGATAGCTTCGGCCTCCCTCTTCCTCTCTTATTTACTTCCACCGTTTCCTCCGCCATACTTTGGTATATATCCTCAACCTCCTCTCTTATTTCTTCTTCTACTTCCTCAGTTTCCTCAACACCCTCCATCTCCATCATTTCACCTTTCTCATCCGTGTTTCTCAAAGCATCATATCGAGAAGGAGTAGCAATGATTACTTGACCAAATTGCAGGGTTTTTGGTGTAGAGCTCCTTCCTATCTTCTCCTCTGATACTTCCTTCCATTCTTTCATCTCCCCCTCCTCTAACTCATTAATTTCCTCCCCTTTTTCCTTATCCTTAGTAGCCAAGATCATCACCAAACTTTCATTGCTTGAACTACCATTCTTCAACCTTTCCACATTCTCCCCAATTCTCAACTCTTTTCCACTCCCGTCCGTGTGCTCAGTATTCTTCCCCACAGAATGAGTACTCGAACTCACCGGAGTTGCTACTTTCCTCTCTACATCCTCACCGTTATTTTTCCCTTTGCAGAAAGTCACATAGTGACCCCATCTACCACAAGAGGTACACTTTGGTGGGAGCCATGGGAAGTAGAAACCCACAGTAATCTTCTCACCCTTGATAGTGAAATCGATCGTTTTTGGCAACTCCTTTGTCAGGTCAGCTTTGACTAAGATCTTTGCGACTTTAAAATCAGAGCAAGCAATTGTCTCTGCGTGCAGGTGGTCTGGTACTCCAATGGTGCTTGTCATGAAACTTAGACCCTCCCAAGAGTACATACTCATTG